TGAAAGAAAAAATCGGAAACCTGTCATTTTGACTTGTTTGGTAGTTCTAGTGTTAGTTTTTCGAAGTCAGCAAAATCGTGCAGATTTTTTGCAAATCTTTCGACGATATATGAGCCGTTTATTTTGAAAGTGGCATAAGTCACTTTGCTTTTAAGTCGATATATTTAAGGGTTTGCGTTTTTTAACACGTTTAAAAATATGGATGCTAACTTTCGAGAAGATTTACTTGTATTTGTTATCTCAGGATACTGATATTTTTCTCAGTATAAATAATTTCGTATAAACATTAAAAAATCACCACTTTTCATTACGGTAAAGTGACTTATGCCACTTTCAAAATAAACGGCTCATATATACAACGGTTTATGAAAATTGAAATTTGTGTAGAGAATTTTACAGTATTTATATCAAGAAACTGTGTTGTATCGATAACTCCGAAATAAATTGCACAAGTGACGACGGAGTCTCGAAGACAAGCAGTGAAAACGAAAAGGCGTAACTAGGTTAATTCGACACTAATTTTGTTCCCGTATCGGCAGAAATGCGTCTACACGATAGGCTCCTGTGCACAATTTTTGCTAGAAATCCGACTGATTGGACTGCGATATCTGTTCGTACGAGACGCAATTTTGAAATCTCGAAACGCGAAACAGCATTCTGTGCTGTGCGTGTAAATTACGAACCGTCGACGTCGCAATTACAAGAGTAATACTCGACGGTTTAACTGCGATTTACGGTGCGCTTTCCCAGCTAATTTCTCCTCTTTCTTTGGCACGTGAAGACAACTAAATCTCTGGCACCGTCACGAACGCGACATTCCGAGTGAAGTCGTTCCAACCACAAAATAATCGTGCACAGTAATCGGAACAATGGTCTTCGACTTGGTTTCCTTGCAAAAGTACATTGTTCCGTCTGGCGAACATAATTGCTTCATGGTCCGTCTTTATTCTCTCGATTCTTCAACTCGATTCTTCGACGAAAATATCACGATCACCGCGGAAAGTCGGATTTCATCTAGCACACGGGACCCGTTCGCAAACACCCCGAACGTCGATGGGTTCTTATCGGAAGTCGGAGTTCCACGGCAATCGTCCGATTTCGAAAGCTTTCGCGTGGACCGATCGAGCTGGAACAAACTGGAACGTGAAACAAAATGGAACGAGAACAGAGGTGTGAGGAAACTAAGAACAAAAAAAGAAAGAAAGAGAAAACAATACAAAAAGGCGGACAAACGAAAAAACGGACATCTACGTGGACGATGAGTTGGCACAGTCAAAAATGCACACTGGTCGGTGAACGTGGACGGAACGCATCTCCAAACGGGCAACGAAACGACACACGTTCGCTACGGGGCCGAGTAAAAGACTCGTGTTAACAAGGAAAACAGAAAACGCACTATACAGCGGTGATAACGTGTCTCTAAATGGGTGACGATGATGATCGCCGATGAAGATGATGGATGCCTCTCTCTCTCTCTTTCGAGTCTCGGCTTCGATTCTAATGGACGCTCTAACTTCTCTAGGCGTGGTTACGAGGCAACGATAAAAGAGTGAAAAATGATGATGTGTGAGAAGAGATACACAGTGGTGCACGGTGAAATTTACACGAAATCGGTACGGTTAAATTTACACGAGCCAGCCCCACTCTTCTCCGGTCACAGTGCTTCGAGCACGACGAGGTCTCGTCTCACAAGGAGAAAGCATGGTCGTGGAAATCGCCTTTAGGATGACATTTAGTATAATTTTTAGTACATATATAGTGTAACAAAAACCGCATATTGTTCGTCAATATGAGCTTTTGTTCTTGAGACATTTCACTTTAACGTTTTGCTAGTAATTTGTAGTACACATATACAGGGTGTCCCAAAAATGTCTCGCAATCCGAAAGTGGCGGGTTCCTCGGGTCATTTGAAGCAACTTTTTCCTTTACAAAAATTTTCTCCGAGGCACCGTTAACGAGTTATTAACGAAAAACAGTGACCAATGAGAGGCGAGCTCGGCTGGCACGAGGCGACCGAGCCAACGGCGCCAGCGGTCGAGGCGATCGAATCCCAGCTCAGCTGGCGCGAGGCGACCAAGCCAATGAGCGGAACTGGGCTTCGTGCGCTGGTTGGCTGGGCCGCCTCGCGTCAGCCGTACTCGATTCTTATTGGTCACTGTTTTTCGTTAATAACTCGTTAACGGTGTTTCGGATAAAATTTTTGTAAAGGAAGAAGATGCTTCAAACGATCCGAGGAACCCGCCATTTCCGGATTGCGAGACATTTTTGGGACACCCTGTAGTGTAATTAAAGGCCGCATACCATTCGTCAAAATGAGTTTTTGTTCTTGCAATATTTAATTTTAAGGTTTCGTTATAAATATAGGCACTTCGTTAATCGTGTGTATCCACACTTCCGACGATGCTCCAACAAACAATGTGAAATCGGTTTTCAAAAATATAAGCAGAGTTTGTTTCCCGAATAGACTAAAAATGTGTAAACATGACGAAAATTCAGCATTTTTGACGCGTGCACGATGTTCCAAGAATTTACGTTTTTCCATGCTTCTATGATACGCATCATCCCCTCTAGTTGTATGGGAATTACGTATGCGCGCCGAAATGTAAACAGAGGTGTCGATACAAAGTAAACAAAGCGTCTAC